GGTAGTCTGTGGCTACAATTATCTATCTGCAACCAGCGGACGAAGTTTGAAATGGTCGTAGGAGATCCATTCCGACTTGGGCGAGTAGAGTGTCCATTACATCAATAGGATGTACCCCGCGCCGCCACCAGTGTCAATATGGTTGATAGGGTGAGTTGGTGATGCATTATTGTTTTGAAATGAGAGCGCACTACTTGTACGCGGACATAAGGACAGGGACCAGTGTGCAGCGTAAAAACAGCAAGACACAAGACTTCATTGCGGCGAAAATGAGCAATGCTATATTCAGACGCCAGGACGTGAGAGCAGACACGCCAACGTAGTCTTCCTGTGCAAACTAGCAACCACTGCTTGTGGTGCTCGCTTCGTTCTCTTTTGTTGTGCCACAGATTATTTATCGTGACATTATCATTCATGTCAAGTGCAAAAGAAACTGCTCGAGATGTAACATAAAAAAACAAAATCCGCAAGAGCACAAAAAATATCTTAACTACGACGTGCCATCGACGTTCTCAAGTTAAAAACTAGGTTAGCGAAGCCTAAATACTTCGCTAAAATCTCTCCTGACTCAATCGATAACAACCCTAATCAGTTTTAGAACTTTTTCCACGGACGCCTCGCGCTGAAACCACATCGCGCACCAGAGGAAACGTGGACACTTGCTGATGAATTCAACTAGCACTTTCATTCATGTTCACTAAAGATAATGGCACATTTCTATACTTGCCACTTACATTATTCTTCTATTGAATAATTGACGGTAAGCGACTCTGAAATATTTATTCAGCTACTTGCTCTGAATGTCAAGAAAGCGAATGGTCCAGACGGTATTCCGAATGAGTTTTTAAAGGGCGACGCAGAGTGCATCAGCAGATATCTTCGTCTCATTTTCCTCAAGTAAGTTTCGGCATCATACCTACCTGAAGACTGATAGATGGCCAAAATTGCACTGATTCGTAAGCCAGAAGACCCTACTGTACCAGCCAACTACAGAACTACTTCACTTACCAGCGCATGATGTAAAAGTTTGGAACATAATTTACTTAAACGTTTACCTACATATTTTTAAGAAAACATTCTGGTAGATATTAAGCATCTTTCAGAAGAGGCCTTTTGACAGTTACTCAGCTAACAGAAGTCGTTCACGATCTCGCTGTAGGTATTACCAACCAGTACCAGGCAGATCTACTTTTATTACATTTCAGAAAAGCATTTGACTCGGTCTGTCATACAAAACTGATTGCCGAAACCAGCTCTGTTATTGGTGATGGAGCCATCACTGCATGAATGAAAGCTCCGTGTCCAATCGATCCCGATTTATAGATATCGAAAACGCCCCGTCTGCTCCTGTGCCAGTGACTTCGGGTGTCCCACAGAGCTCAGTAGCTGCCCTTTTGTTATTCTTGATTTTGATCAATGACATAGCAAGTAACAATGTTTGCGAAATTAAACTCTTCGCAGACGACTGCGTAATATATATATATAAATACACAATAGAGAAGATCATGTTATGCTCAATAATACGCTAACACAAATAACCGAACAGTGTGATCCATAGTAAATGACCCTCAGTACAAACAAAACAGTCACGCAATGTCCACCATAATCATTCATACACACTAAAGGATATTTTTTGCTCTAATATTAACTTTCGGTTTTCTTTTTCGTTCACAGGTTGCCCTGAATAGAATAGCTTAGGTGTATCCATAACCAACACCGTGTCAGAGTCAGTTTTTGCAAAGGTATTTGAATAAGTTATAAGCAATTAGTAAATAGTCTGTGTGTTTACGCTACTCAATTTACATTATTTGAAGCGACTTCTTTGTACTGACGTTGGTTCAGCTTTCACTTTTGAGAACCAAATTTAATGCGTAATTTTTATGTGTTTTTATTTACATTGGTTTTGCTGTAAAATTCTGTTGCATATTTTATCCGTATATTAGTATGCCAGATTTGAATTTCTCTTAATTTTAGTTTGCTGCATTTGATTTTGTATCTTCGCTAAGAAAAAGTGATGTGTTTATTATGCCCTTTGTAATGAAACTTGTGTTTATGTAAACGACATGCCCACCTGCTATGGTCTCAACACGAGACTGACAGTAGTGCAAAAAAACTAATAAAAAGTATGTAGCTCAGTGGCAGAGCGTCGGATACGTTACTCGAAGGTCGCAGGCTTGGATCCTGCCGGGGAAAAGGGATCTTTTCATGTACGTTTCTTTCACCTCAACCACATTACAATTATTTATAATAACACCCCCTACACTTCTGTTGGCACCTTTGTTTGTTTGTTCTTGTTATATTGTATCTAAGAAAGAAAAACGAGCCATGAATTAGACACAGCTCTTCATGCATTAGTCTGGAATTTTCATGAGACTTTCTAATATTGTGGGCAATGATAAATCTGCTATGATTTTAAAAAAATGTATGGATGAAGAGAATCTTAGAAAAGAACCCTTTATTTATATAGCGATGGCATAAGAGATGTTTTTTCTCAAATTTGTTTCGTTTTATGTGACTCGGCCTTCATACACCGAGCGACATTCATGATCTGGACACACCGACACTTAACTACCGAACCGTGACTATGTTTTTTTTTCTTTTGAGACGCGTGATAATATCATACATACTTTCAATACTTCTGCTGACTGAAAAAACACTAGTCCATACAGTTTCAAATTATTCAATATTATAGGGAACGCGTTCGCTAAAACCGATATGAAGGAACTGGAAAGTTTAAGAAGAAAACAGTTGGAATCTTTTTGAGAACGTATGGCCGCCTTCCTATTTCTCACCTCTGCGTCTCTCATAATCATGTGGTAGTTTTGGAACGTTAAACCCCACATATCAGTCAATAAATCTCTCACCTGATATTTAACACTCACTTTTGCTATTTCTGATCAAAATTGCGTCTGTCTCCCTTTTATAGGTGGTAGGGAACTTTCGTAGGTGGGACCTTTATAACTGAAAGTCGAACCTACACCGCTATACCGCTTTGAAAACAATAAATAGGTGTACGTTTATCGCTCCTCCACCTCAACTCAGAAAGGTAACTGAAACCTCTACATGTGTCACCTTCTCAAGAGTGCTGCAGGTAACGCGACCAGCCGCGGACATTTACAGGCTCTATCCTTGTTCAGTACATGCGTCAAGTCCACTAAGTATTCGGTCTTTCCGAAGACTATAATAGAATGGAACAAGCTACCAGATAAAACTGAGACCCACAATTCGATATCGCGGGCGAGATGACGCCTTCAGTCACCTTCATGAAAACCAACAAGTACTGAAAAAAAGCCAGGAAGGTGTAGACACTTCAATTTTTTTAAGTGCGTATCATGAATTGTGGCACACATGGGCAGATAATATTCTGGGCCGTAGGCTACCACAACGGACCGACTGAACAACATTTCAGGCTCGTCATGTGCTGCGTATTATTAGGGTTGTGTGAAAAAAACGAACGAGTGAGCCCCTGAGCATCGTCCATCTCCTCATCCACTTTTTTTACTCTTATTCAGATTGTTCATAAGTCTTTTTGTCTTACAGCCCCCCCCCTCCCCAAAGATTGTCTCTCCGATTCAATTTTTTTCGTAATAACTTCGCTTGTTTTCTTCGCCAAAGCACGTAAGAAACGAAAGTATTCTCTTTTTTCTCTAGTTTTATTTCTTCATTTTATGCACTTGCATCTTTACCACAACGCGTAGCGCTTGTACGAGATCTCAATATCTCCCATATCGCAGTATAACGGTACCGATAAAATTTCAGTTAGCGTGGTTGCACACTGACTGATTCATTCCAAATACATTCTCAGTCAAAATGAAATTTGTGCATAACAGCTTTTTACAGTTAGCACTCCAGCTCACTCCTTTTTTGCACGTCTATTTCACTCTTTGCTCTCTGTCCCATCTTTCTTCCCGATTTTCCCTTTTCTTAGGGCAGGGTAGCAAAGCAGATGCTTGAATATTGGTTAACCTCCCTGCCTTTTTCTTATTTTATTCTTCGTCCCTCGGTGGCTTGAACATGTTTTACGGACAGTATTTAGAACCAACAGACTGGCTAGTCAAGGAAATTATAGATGTCGTTATTTCTTTTTTTACAGTATAATTGTGAAGGAAATAAATTAGACATAGAATATTTTGCTACTGGCAGCAGTGGCTTTGCCAGGGAATGGTACATCGGGTCTGTTTCCTTTCCTTGAAACATAGTTTTGGCATGGCAGATTTATTTTATATAATATAATATTGAATGTATTTATATTTTATATACTACATATTATATTATAATATATTACATATTATACATATACAATACATTATATATTATATTATAAATTATATATTATTTTTGCCTGTTCGCTCCCCCACCCCTTCACATCAAAAATGTAAAATAAGGGGGTGGGCAATAAAATGCTTATTCACACACTTTCTTCAGATCAGTTTGTTTGTCGATGAGAAATCTCTGGTTGAAACAAAATTTGTTACAGCCTTTTTCAATATTCTAGAACACTTTGAAGTGCTATTTTAAGTCGTATCATTCACATATTTTTATGAAGACAACTTAGATGTTACTAATGAGAGCTGTTACAAGAAATTGAATTCAACTGGAACGTCGAAAAAAAACAGATGCTGCAGTTGAAAGCACACGTAGATTGAAGAACAGAATATGTATAACAAACTTCAGAGGGAATTTATGCTGAAAAAACAATTAGGCACTTCAAGCGTCCTGAATGTTTTCTTGTGTCGGCATTTACACGCCCACTATTTTAACGTGAACACAGAAATTTTCGTATTGCTTGAGTAAGTCTAAAGTATTTATTTTACGCCAACCTTCACTGTTTTTATGTGTTCACTTATTTGATATTTGGCCCACAACTCGTCCTAACACAGTTCTCAACTATTCCAAATTGAGATCTATTTATATGTTTTCTTTTTTGGTCTATATCACGAAATTCCCTTTTATTTCCCACGCAGCTCTAGTTATTCGAACTGTGCCCTTGGAGTACTCACCGCGGATTTTTGGAGGGCGGCCCAATGGCTTCGCCATCCTTGGCCCAGGTGAGTGCTATAGTTGGATCGCCCTGGACCTTACAATGGAGATGGGCCACGTCACCTCGTCGAACCGCTTCGCTTCGGAACTTGCTGGCGAAAGAGGGCCCAGCTTGCAAGAAATATTTTGCGCATTCAACGCACTGCATTCACAAATCAATGCCACTGCCTCATTCTCATGAGAACGTTATTGCATACACACAACTGCCCGCAACAGGTAGCTAGATTCTCATTTGTAGGTACACTGTAGGGGTTGATGCATCTGAGCGACAAATATCTGCACTGTGGACGCATTTGACCTACCATGAACTTTCAGGTGAACAAGCTTGCTTAACCCCGACCTGATCCCGTTCGTTGCTTGGCAAATGTAGCGTCCTGAAAGAAAACAACAATTTAGCGCTAAGTACGACAAGGTTCACTCATTCAATGCACTGTATGTTGCCAGAAGGTAATGATCTCTTGTTGAAATATATTTAGAACGCTAAGAAAACAGCCTTACCAGCGCTTTGCTCTTGAGCATTTTTGACAAGCAGCGAACCGTTTGCGTAAATTTCGTAATCCGTCCCCGCGGTTATGGTAATAAATCCAGGTGTTCCGTACACTGGAATGTAAGAGAGACCGAGAGTGAAAGAGAGATTAGAGTTCATATAGAATAAGCATTCGTTACGCAAGTGGGCTGACATGAGCAGAGGTTACGTGAAAAAAAAATGAGACAGAGAAGACCCAGCAATTAGGGCACATTTGCAAACAAAGGTCAACAATATTCAAAATTTCTGTCACCTCATAGTAGTAGACGATTCTGCAGAATTTTTCGCAGCGTTTCTCCTATTGAAAAGTATTTCAAACAATAGGAGGAGAAAACGTGGTGTATTTTTAATGCAGCAAAAATGAAAGGTGTGAAGGTGCGTCATACTAACTTGTAACTCAATGCCAGTTCGTTTTACGTTGGCAATCTAGCTGGAACTTTTACGCTTTTCTTCATCCATAGTACTTCACCACTCGCAACTTGAAGTTCCAAGTTATCAGTGCCACTAATCCCGTACTATAGACATAGTCGGGAACCTCTGATAAGCACCACATTACCACTCACACCCGTGTCCACACAAGTGGTGATAAGATCCAGCCGCGAGAACCTGTGCGCGTGCGCCTCGATGCGGACAGGCTTCATGACCGCACACAACGATCGGCTAAGGGCACGAATATACAGCGGCTCTCCCCGCATTGCATTGAAAAGCGCGATTCCAATACTTTAAGATATTATCTCCATGCTGCATCGGTGCCTTTTTAGATGACGATACGATGAGTGAGGTCAGCTGTCTCGGTCCCGGCAACACACTCAGAAGAAAGCTGCATGGTGCTGATTTTATGTCTTCTTCGCGTATGTGACCGCGCAGTTTCGAAGACAAGGTTTTTTTCTCGTATGTTTAGTGGTAATTCATTGACGAAGGTGATATAAAGTTGCTGAAAGGTTTCCGAAAAAATGGCTAGAACGTGTTTAGTACTGAGCTGCTGTTCTCGCTATCGAACTAGTGCTATTGATGATTGATACGGGGGGTTTAACGTCCCAAAACCACTATATGATTATGAGAGAGGCCGTAGTGGAGGGCTCCGGAAATTTAGACCACCTGGGGTTCTTTAACGTGCACCCGCTATCGAACTAGTGCTGAGCTAGTGCATCTGACAGTGAGCGTTGGGTAAATGTGAACTCTCATAGTAACAACTAGCCTTGAAAAAAGATTGCTTTAGTGTGCAGTATATCAACTACTAGCAATGTTTAAATAATTATATAATCCGTGGAAAAACTGCATTGCTCTCATGCGCTTGATATGAAATACTTGGGCGTTTTAAATATTTATTTATATTGTGTTCACAATGAACAAGTACAACCATAGTTCAACAATTTCCTGTGTAAATGAAAGCAGCGACAAACAGGAAATACATTTCTGTAGCAGTAACCATCCTCTTTGGATAGAAGGGTAATAATTATTAATTAAGGAATGGGCGTGAAAATCATCACTTGTTTACGAGGGACGCCATTGTGTAGGGCTCCTGTCTGATCTTGACTATTCGCGGCTGTTTAACATGCACTTACATCCAAGCCCGTTGAGTTCCTTGCATTTCTTTCCCACAGGAAAGTATTTCGATCAAGGATTTGCGTGCTGGCTAACGTTTTTTTGTTTTAACTATTTTTCTTTGCATCGAGCAATACCAAGTTACTATCTGTAGGTCTTTTACTGTGGGGGCTCATCTTGCCTCAACCATTATTCGGAGCGCCTGTGCTCCAATTCAGCCCCTTTAGATAGCTGCTGCAAACTTTTTTTGGCATCTGTAATGATTGTTAACGGAGCGTTTCACGTCCATCCTTCTGTTATTGCGAGTGCTATGGTGACCTCTTCTGCTTGTGTTCTCGACGCCTGGTCAATTGAAGCGCAGGCTGTAATTATGCTTCTACGGTCAATAACGACATAAACAGCTGTCTTTGCATTGGTCTGATAAGGCGTGGCGTCAGTGAGTCTGGCCGGGTTCAAAAATCTTGTCATTTTGTCAATGTAGTCAGCACTCGCCTTTCTTCTCTCAGCTTGCATAGTATATTCCATGTTGCTTGGTATTGGCAATACGGTGTACCATTCTCTAAGTTCGCTTGGTACTTTAGTTTCTTGGTGTTTTGTATTAATGTATTGTGGTGTAGTTTTGTCAAGACTGCTTTGCCAGTTGGTGTCTGGAGAAGGCAATTTTGTTGTGCTAATAGCTAGCCCTCAGATAATTCTTCAATTGTGTTATAAAGACGAAGCGCCAGTAGTTTGTCGCTTGAAGTATTCCGCGGACATGTTGGGGCTGTCTTGTAGGCCACTCTTATTATTTCGTTTGCTTCATTTCTCTCTTCTCTGAGCGAAAGTGAGCATGCAATACGACCGATAACAAGGCTTTTGACCGACCTTAGGGTATCTTGTCCTTTCATGCCTTTCCCATAGTTTTTATTCATGACATCATTCGTGAGATCTGCTGCAATAATGGTTTGAGTTTATTTAGTGTGTGCACACATCTCTGATTAGCTTGCAATCACATTCCTAGTATTCGCATGATATGTTTCTCTGGAATTATATTTCCTTTGAGCCTGACTTCTAACTTTAGATTCGGGTCGATCCTCCGTGCTTTTCTCTTCGTGAAGTGAAGGAGCTCTGACATTTCGGCTGAGCAAGGAAGACGCGGTATCCTTGCGTACTCATCTATGATGCTAGCTGCCTGTTGTAACCTATCTTCTTTCCCTGCTAGGCGGCCTGTAGTTGTTGATACCGTGATATTGTCTGTATATATCGCATGTTGTAGACCGGCAACATTTTTTTAGTTTTCCTGCTAGGCCTGCTATGGCAACGTTGAAAAGTGTCGGTGGAATGACCACTACACGGGGTGTTACTTTGTTTGGAGGTCAAATGATGTTGGATTCGTAATCTCCCAGCTTCATTATTGCAGTCCTGTGACTAAGAAAACTTTTGGCGTATTAGAACATTCGTTCTTTACAGTTAGCTTCCCTTGGACCTTCTAGTATCGCTTTGTGACTGATTTTATCAAAGGCTCACTTCATGTCAGCTGCTATAACGACGTTTTTCCCAACCTTAGAGTTGTACATTATTACTTGTTCTGTTAAAGTGAGTAGAAAATCTTGTGGTTAAAGGTGTGGGCGAAAACCAAACAAGGTTTCGGGCATAAGGCTGTTGCTCTTGGGATGATTGAGGAGCCTCGTGTTCACCAGTTCTTCAAAAAATTTTATTAAGCAGGACGTGAGCAAACTGGTTCTCACGTTCCCAAAGGGAAGTTTTTGTTTTCTTTTTTAGGCACCATGACCACGATCCCAATTTTTATTCTTGTGGAATAGTTCCAGAGAGCCAATGTATGTTAGTGTATTTAGTGAGTGCTTAATGGCTTCGTCATTTAGTTTTTCGATTATATCATTGATGATATTATCTGCACCCGCGGCTGTGTTCTTCTTGTTACTAAGCATGGCTGCTCGTATCTTAGCGTTCGTAAACGAATTGTTAAAATGACGTTGCGGTGATCCTTCATACCTTTATTGATATGAAGGCGTCGTTCGTCTTCCCCAAAACATTTTTTTTATGCCTGGCTTGAATAAGATCCTGTTTTGTACCAGGGTGTGAGTGCAGCAATCTTTCGATGGCTTTACTGTTTTCACTTTTTGTCTTCGTGTGTTCTCTAATGGCTCCCAGTATGTTGCATGTTTTGGCCGTACTCAGCGTTCTGTTGAGTGAACCACAGAAATTGGCCCAATTAGTTGCAGCTAGTTGATTTGCGTATTCCTCTGCATGCTGGTTGATATTTCAGTTTTTTCTTTATTTTCACGGTTACGTTTCTGTCTTTTCCATCTTTTTTTAAGGCGTCTCCTTGCTTCCAAAACATCTAGTAGGTGCGAGTCAACCTTAGCGGCATTGCTTGATCGCAATATTTTTTACTGTACTTCTCTTTTTGACGGCTTACTTCATCCCACCAATCACTGAAGTTTGCTATATCTGAGCCAGTCAACCTTAATTCTAGAGATTTTCTGAACGCATGCTAAGTAGTTGTTTTGGCAGCGGCAATCTTTTTACGTGTTTAATCTGTGTGTATAGTGGTGCATGGTATGTAATGATCACTGTTTAAATGTTTAGAGTGTTGTGTCACTCCACAACTAGACAATCTTGGCACCTCGTTAGATCTAGAGTCGTGTGTCTGAAGTTGCTGTTTCCTAGTCTTGTAGAAATCTGGATCCGTCAGAAGAGTCATACCTGTTTTTTCTATTTGCTGGGCTATATTTTTGCCTTTCGCCATCTGAGGGAGGTATCCCCAGCTTCAATCTTTTGCATTAAAGTCATCCACAACTAGGAGCGTGTTCTCCTTGGCTAGTTTCGCTGCATCTTCTTTAAATGGTTTGGTGAAAGTTGCCTTCCTTTCTTGAGGTGGGCAATAAATGTTGAGACCGAAAATACTTTTCTTTTTATTTTCTTTATATAGGATATCTGTAATGATATGTGGGATTTCGATTCCTTCTGTTGGTTGATAGTGCATAGCGGTTATGAATTTGTGGACTAATGTCGCCAATATCCATTCTTCGTTGTTATTCACAGCTTCACCATGGCGTCTCTAAGAATTATATGGTAAATTTGGGACGTTAAACCCCACATATCAAATCAACAGCTTCGCCATGAGTCTCGTAGCTCTGCATCCTTGGCCTTATTCCAACCTCTTGACAGCTAACACAGCTGGTGGCATCGCCTGCATAGCCACCAGCTGTGAAATCTGTTCCCTTTTCCGTCAACATCTCCGGTAGCTCCCCTGCCACATATCCCACTCTTCCGTAGCTTTCCTTAGTCGCTTATGCATTGTCAGTAGCTTCTTGTGTCTTATTAGGTAGGCCCAGCGTATTGTATGCCTTATCTGTTTTTTTTTCCTTTATGTGGCTACAAATATTATGCTTTCTCAACGCCTTCGCGATTTCAATCTGTTGCGCTTCAATTTTTCTTTCCAGCACGTCGAGTTTTCTGCGTACCTGCCCCATCACTTGTTTGACGATGAAGGGAACTATTTCTTTGATGGGTTCTTTCAGAATCG